GGGTCACAAAGCTTTCATGATTATTTTCATGAAAGGTTTTTTATGATACCTAGCATTGCTGCAAATTTAAAGGGAAGTTCGCCATCATATCCCGGTAAATACTTGACAATGTGGCCGCCTACGACAGCTTGTGCTGAGAGTAGAAGTAGAAGCAGAAAGTAATGGATGTACAACCCATATCTAACACAGTTAGCAGAGAAGCTAGAACTGTATGACATGGTTGGAAACATATCAGACATTCCCAAGTGCCAAATATTTGAGGCACTTCGTTAGTTGTTATTGAGAAGGAAAGCTAAGATGGAATGATCATTTGGGCCCTTTGGTTTGGGCTTTGTATTTGCAGCTGACGTTGGGTTAGATAGTTGAGCCCCCCAGTCTTTTTATTAAAAAAATTGTGCAAGGTTCTCTATCTCTAAATAACTCTGTTCTCCTTTTTCAAATCACTTTTAATTATTGGATCATATAAGAATTTTAAGATGTAAAAATCTCAAAACATATCCAATAATTATGAGTGATTGGAACAGGAGAGAGAATTATTTAGGGACAGAGAATCATTGCACAAAAAGATTGATTTCATAGCTAATCATACAATATTATTTTCTTTTCTTTATTTTATTTTATTTTATTGTATTTATTATTTTAGCTAGGGGTATTTTAAAAATATATATATATATATATATATTTAAAATTTGACCTGATTAACGAATCAAACCCTCACCTCTTATATGCTTCAATTTAAATCCTAAATTTTTTGAATAATATCAAATTTAAACTATATATTTATATCCGTTGTCAACAAATAAGTGATAATTCAAATAATTTAATAACAAAAAAAATTCATTAATTTTAACAATCATCTTACACCTTTATTATCCTCCATCACCACTCCTCTAACTCACTGCCACCGCTTTGTTTTAATGGCTTGTGGACCATCCGATTAGACGAGGAAATGCCATGCTTTGCTTTGTTGGGCTGTCATGTGTGTGACCTTGTGGACCATCCGATTAGACAAGGACATGCCATGCTTTGCTTTGTTAGGCTGTCATGTGTGTCATCCAACCCGTTAGATATTTGATTGGCAGGATTGGAAGAGAATTGAATTTTGTGTTTATTTGCATGTGCAAGACCAAATCTAACAGTCTTTTCAGTTTTTTTTTTTTTTTTTTTTTTTTTTTTAAAAAAAAAGAGAACCGTAACAGTCTTTGAGATTTTCAATCTGACCAAATTAATAATGTCCATATTGATAATTCACTTAACCCACCTAACTGTTCGGACAGTTCGACAAAAAAAAATGTAAGGTTAGGTTTGGTAGAGCTTTGTAACTATGATTTGAGAGCTTTGTAACTATGATTTGAGAGTACGAGTTGTATTTTGAATTTGTGAGTTTTGAAATTATGATTTGAGTGTAAAAAATTTGTTTAGTAAAAGAGTTTTGAAAATAATTTTGAATTGAATGAGAAATTTTTGATGTGACATTTGATATTTGATACAAAAACTTATAATTCGTAACTAAACATACAACTCAAAATTCTATTAAAGCACATAAAAAATTTTAAAAAATTCATAAAATAATTTTTTCGAATATATAAAAATTAACATATCAATTGAAAAATAAAATAAAAAATTTGCACTGTACCGGTGAACCGGTCGGACAACCAGTGGGATGTCTGGTAAGACGTCCGATGAGACGACCGGTTGGACCAAATTTCGAAAAAAAAATTCGAAAATCGCGAACTCAAACGGAGTTTTCTGCAGAGTTGTGAAAATTTAATTTTACAATTCTATCCAAACATCATATTCAAACTACCAAGTGGAAAACTCGTTTGAAAATAATTCCAAACAGAGCCAGTGTTTGGTACACAATATCCAAACTCAAAAAAAAGCCCATGTTCAGTCCAATAATGTCCTGAGGGTCGGTTTATTTTAAGAGGTAGAATGGAAGAAATTTATAGTAAAGAAATTATTAGTGAGAAGATTAAGTAAAATTGTATTTGTTTTGATGATAGTTGTTGGTATATGGATTGTTAAATTATTTTTATATAAAATAAATAAATAATAAAATAAATAAATAAATACAAAAACATGAAACATTAATGTTCAAAAAAAATGCTCAATATTTAAAAAATAAAAAATAAAATAAAATAAATAAAACTATGATTTTTACTTAACAAAAAATATAAAAAATTAAACATTAGTGTTAAAAAAATGCCCAACATATAAAAAATAAAAATAAAAATAGTATGGTAAATGATTTTCTAATACCAAGTTCCAAACCTCCATCCTAATCTCCTCTCCAAGCCTCCATCCTAATCTCCCAAAATAAATATAATATTAATAGATTTCACCTCAATCTCAATCTCAATCTCAATCTCAATCTCTCAAAACAAACTAGCCGCTAGTCCCTACCATACTGTCGTAAAGACTGTTTGTTGCTGTTGAACCCCTGAGCATTGTCCTATGTTGTTGAATTAGGAATAATTGTGTTTCACACAATTATTCCTAATTCAATTTTTAGGAACACGTTCAGCTTATTTGATTCTAGTTTTTAGAAAATAATTTTCATAAAATTTTATTTTTTTATTTTTCATATTTTAATATTTTTGATGAATTTTTTTAATATTTTAAGTAATTTTTTTAATTTTTAGACACAATTAACATAAATACACTTAAAAAATATCATATTTATGATTTTTTTTTAAAAAAAATACACTAAATATCAAAAAATACAAAAAAAAAGAAGAGAAAATTCATTACATTTTTCATATTTTTGTACATTTATTAATTTTTTAAAATATTTTTTCACAAATATTTTATTATTTAGATATGTGGGGACATAAATTTTGAATGACGAACACGTGGCCGAGGTGGCATCGAAGTGTCAGCCGAGGTGCCACGTGTCCTGGTCTTGGCGCCGAGATGATCTCGGCTAGGCCGAGGTTATCTACGAAGATACCAGAATCCAGGATAAGCGGATAAGGGATAAGAGTCCTAGAATGAGAGAAGACTTCAGTTTGGATAAAGATAAGACTCTTAAAGAGTTTATCCTAATCCTACAGGGAATCCAAGATTAGCAGTAATCCTAAGTCCATTAGAGCTAGACTTCTATTGGGACTAGGATTGTGTTGGCTATAAAAGGAAGGCACCTCATAGTGTCTAGTAAGTTAAGCACTGTTGGTTATCTTTGAGAGATATTTTACTGACTTGATCGTTAGAGTGCCCCGGGTGGACAAACCACCGCGGGATTCTTATATTTCTGTTTGGGCTTAATCTATTTTGCCGGTACTCTCCAACTAAGTACTAGTTTGGCAGTGTGGTCAGAAATCTACTCACACAAGATACATTTAAGTAATGTGTATCTAAAAAAGTAAAATATCACTTAAAATTTTAAAAATATTCACTAAAAGCAAAAAAATACGAAAAACAAAAAACTTAATTTTCAAAAAACTAAATTCAAAAAATTAAAACCAAACACACCGAATAATAATATATATATATATATATATTTTGTGTGTGAGAATTCCTAGTCCTAATGTGGTGTGGATCCCTTGACCAAATTGGTTAAAAACGTAAACTGATCTGAATATTTATATTGGTTGGGGAAAAAAATTAAAAAAGCAAAAATAATAAGAAAATGATTTATTTTTATTTTTAAATATTTTTATTTCTTAAATTTTATTTTAATATTTTTGACTATTTTTAAAATATTTTTTTACAACTAATTTCAATACCTATGCTTGTTAACATTTTCCATCATTTTATAACTCCAATATGCAACATGTCACACATTCGTATGTATGTATTGATTGATGTTTACATTTTATGCAAAGGGACTTAATTGTCTCCCATTTTTATTTGTGCATTTTTTAGATTTTAGTATGTAAATCATTTCGGGAAAAATTATGGTACGTACCTCTCAAAATGTGTATATTATATGTAACTTATAATAAAAGAAGAAAATAATAAAATTTTATATTTTTTGAGTCATAACTAAAAAAAAATCATAATCAAACACTATATAATCAAACATTACAAAATAATATCATAACTAAAGAAAAATATTGGTCATAACTAAAAAAAAAAATGACATAACTAAATGTGCATATGACATAGGGTGTGTACTGTAAAATTTTCATATTAAATATATATATATATATATATTATTTAATAATCTAATAGAACATTAACAATGGTTCATTTATATCCAACCGAACCCAAAATTTCTTTTAAAAAATAAATAAATAAATAAAATCAAAACCCACCCAATTAACAGGTTCTACAAGAAACCAGTAACCATGTCCTAGAATGTATGTATAATTGATGGCAGATAATGAATTTATGAGTCATAAAAGATGAAAAATTGATTTGGGTTGATTTCAAAAAAGTAACAGCGTAGTTGTTGAAGCTAATATGTGGACCATTCCAGAGCAGTTTCAACATCTCATAATTCTAGCAGGGGCAGGATGTAAAAATGACCAGAAAAAAACAAAAAACAAAAGCAATAAAAAAAACTAAACATACATATAGGATTTTGCTAGGTGGTTCCAGTCTACATGTGAATGTGAGATTTTGTTAAGTTGAATGAGTTGAACATTGAAATTCAAAGACAACGAAGAATATTTGATTTTGAGCAATCCACCCCACCAATGGTTCATTTATATCCAACTTATAGAGAACAATGATTGATATTATCATTAATTAGTTGTAATAGAATATTAGTGAAGGATGACCTTACTGGCCAAGTTTGCACCTCAAGCCTAAAAACAGTAATTATAATCCTGTTTTTCAATTAAAAGAAAGAAAATTTTAAAATGTACAAAATTCGATCAGACAACTTTCTCACATGAGAATAAATCCAACAAAATATAAGTCTTACCCCATTTGAAAGAGTTATATCTAATTTTGTGATCGAATTTTATGCATATAGGAGAGTAGTAAAAGAAATTGTTTCTCCTTCACACCCACACCCACCACCTCCCTAAGCTGTACAATTTTTTTCATAGCTAGTAATATACAATGTTCCTCCTCCTCCTAACACCATAGCTTTTGCTTCTTGGTTTCAACAAATCAGTCTTCTTTCCCTCAAGAACATCATCTTCTTCCTCCTCCTCAAATTCACAAGGCTTGTCTTCATCAATCCTCCCAATCTTTCCAATCCCAACACCATAACTCCTTCCCACACCATCATTACCCCCCTTCGCCACCTCTCCCTCCTCCTGCTGCAGATCAATATTCGTCGTTGCTTCACGCCCCGTATGCCTCTTAGACACAACTCTCACAAGCCTCCTCACATCTTCATTATCGATTTCATTAGACAAACCGGCATGGTGGTTGTTGTTGTTGTTTCGAGGCAAATGGGGAAGAAGCTGTGGGACAGAACACACCACACTCCCACAACTGGTCTTTCCGGCACAATCAAGGAGGGTTTTCTCGTAAAAGTCTATAGCCTTGATTAGAATTCTAATGGGTGTTCTTATACATATCATGAACTTGCTTTGCTTCTTCTTTGCTTTGTTGCATCTCTTGTTCGCACGCATATTGCTTCAAGAGCAAGAAATGAAGAGATATATGGCATGTACAAGTGAAGACTGACTAGGAAAATTTAGAAAGGAGAGATGGAGATGAAGAATGGAGGGCTGTACTGATGGGTATAATGTATATATATATATATAAGATGTGCTTTGTTTTGAACTTTTGATCATTGATCTGTTTTCTTGCTTTCTTAGAAAGAGACTGCTTCTTTTTTAATGGGACGGCAAATTGAGGGCAACACAAAGTTAACTGTGAAATGTACTTAAAAATTAAAAATAAAATGCATAATATAAATTTAAATTAATCTTATACATATTTTATTTTTGGGTTTTTTTATTTATTTATTTTTTGGGATGTTAAGTAGTACGAATTTTAATTGTAGTATTGTTAGGAGTTCGGATCGTCTGCCGTGGTTTCCTGCCGCGGCTCCTGCCGCGGTCCAAAACGACGTCGTTTTGGAATTTTTTTTTTTTCCTCTCTTTTTCCTTCCCCCTTTCTTTTCTCTCTCAAACGTTTAAAACCAAACCTAAGAGTATCTGCAATGGTTGTTGCTATAATACAATTGTTATTGCTATAATTTGGAAACAAGGAGGAAACATGACTAAAATAACACAGTTTAAATCAACATAAATAATAATAAAACAGTTTAAATAAACATAAATAATAAAACTTACAATTGTTTACTAGAATGAAACAAACAGTTCTTCAAAATACATAACTTGAAAACGAACTTGAAAATAAAATTACAGAGATAGCTATTTTTCTTGAGGAATGAGCACTCTCAATTTTCCTAACTCTGCCTTATTCTTGACTGAAGAGGCCCTTTTATAATCAAAAGAGACTAATGTTAGCCTTGTGAGTGAATAATCTTGACTTGAAATGAGCATCAGGAGCACATGGGAGCTGTCTGCTGCTTTCAGTGAGTGACAAAAGTTGATGGCTGCCGTTTACTGTGCTGAATTTGTCGGTAGGATAAATCATGATGAATGTGGAATAGTAATGTTGACTTTTTGATGAATAGTGAACAGTAAAGTTGACTTTTTTCACTATTCATTGCTTGTAGGCATGTGACTGAGGGAATCAATATAGATATATATATCAGCAGCTTTTCTCAAAAAATTAGTATTGATTGAAGCTGATAATTATAGCTATATAGAATCCAATGTTGATAAGTTGAACAAGTGACTAGGCATATGGATCTTGAGCATCTTGAAATTCGGGTCCATGTGGATTTTGAGTAGCTGAACCTTTAGAAGAATTTGAACTGTCTGAACTTTCTTCTGAATCACTATTATCCGAATCTGACTTGGCTTAGGCCATAGGGAGACGAGCCATTTGGAGAAGCTCATCGTTGGATGACTTGGATTTAGGCTTAACCTTGGACTTGGATTTTTCCTTTGATTTGGGTTGATCAGTGATGGGCTTTGCTGACTTGGACTTAATCTTTAACTTGGATGACTTGGGCTTCGAAGAACTGGATGTTGGGCTTCCAAGATTGACTGGAGGAAGTTGACTTCCTTGTGTTAATGGAGCAGCTGGGATCTGCTGAGCTTTAACCATAGTAGGAGTTGGAACGTGTATGTTGATTAGGAATTCAGTTTGAACAATTTCAATGATGCGTGGAATTTTGAAATTATTCCACCATTTAACCATATGTTGATGGTAAATAACATCATCAGAAATACCATATTGCCATTTGAATATCCAAGGGATTTTGTATTTGGATATAAAAATAAGCAATAGAGGGAATTTCCTTTGCTAAGGAGTGAATAAGAAAATAGTAGAGAAGTAATTGACTTGTTCCATAATTACAGATGGGAAGATTTTTGAAATGGCGCCATACTGAGTCTACCATCGCAGAAACCAGGTAGATAACTCGAATTTGAACTTTTGATCAAATTGAAGAAACCAAAAGTGACTGTTTGACTCATTTTGATACAAGAAGACTTTGAACCAAGCATCAATGTAATCATAGTAACTGTATTGAATTGAATGACCAGGCAGATCACGTAGTTGATGAGGAGAACCTCACTCAACTAGAGAAACAAAGTTGTGAATATAGAGTGAATAGTACACAATTTTACTTGTGTAAGTGCGATCATAAATAAGTTTAATCACAATTGACTGATGGTTGAACAGGATGTCTTTATAGAAAGTAATTGTTTTTTCTGGATGGAGATGAATAAAATGCCATCCAGGAGGGAAATAAGATTTAACCAGATCATGAACAGTATGACTCTTTGGGTGACTAGGTTCTTTGAAACAGAGATTAGTAGTGGTGGATTTAATATAATCAGATTGAGCTGATTTAATAGGATTAGGAGGGTATGGACAAACCGCTTGACTAGATGAATGAAGCAAAAGGATCAGTAGCCAAAGTAGATGTATAACTAGGTTTATGAATGTTACCAAGAATTTGATAACAGTTAACCAATTCAGCAGCATGGTATTTGGTGAGTAACTCCAATGGAGGAGGAACAAAAGGTTGACTAGATGGGACCAAGGCTTTGGAAGGAGGCCGCGGACAAGACATCTGTGAAATAGAGGAGATAAATTAGCATCCACTGAGGATATCTAATTGATCAGTATGTTCATGTAAACAGTTAATATATTGAGCAGGTTGTTGTTTCTGAGCTTTAATTCGATGAAATTGTATGTACTGGGCTCTTTTAGTAGGTAAATGGGTTGATTTTAGAAAGGCAAGGCGACGAGCAGTAAATTTGACTAAGGTTTTATAGTGTTTAATCTGGTGTTTATGGTAAGGAATAGAGGGAATTGTCATGATGTAACTCATTATCCACCCTGTAAAAATTCTCAGGTAAGAAAATCAGGAATTGAATTTTGACAACCCGGTATATATTCAATTTCAAAATAAAAAATACTTAAAATAGATAGCCAACGAGCAAAAATTTGCTTACTGGCAAGATTTTGAACATCTTTTTCTAAAACATATTTAGCAGATTTGCAATCAACACAGAGTAAAAAATTTTGATTTAAAATATTATCTTGAAATTTACTAATACATAAAACAGTAGATAAAATTTCTTGTTTAATAGTACTATAATTCTTTTGTGCTTTATTCCAGACACCAAAATGATAACAAACAATTTGTTCAGATGACTGAGAAGTAATTTTCTGGAGAAGGATGCCACCATAACCAATATCAGAGGCACTAGTTTGAACAATTTTGAATGAATTTTCAGTAGGAATACCAAGACAAGGAAGAGACTTGACATATTGTTTAATTTGTTTAACAATAACAGTATGAGTAGAAGACCAAGGAGGAGGGTTGTCTTTTAACCGATCAAACAGAGGTTCACAAGTTTTCCTAAGGTCTTTGTAAAATTCAGCAATATAATTCAGTGATCTTAAAAAACGTTGTAATTGGGTTTTATCTAAGATTTCATCAGGAAATTTAGACACAAACTCAATAGAACGACTAATAGGTAAAATAGTATTCTGATGAATATCATAACCTAAAAATCTGACTTTGGTTTGAAACAATTTAATCTTAGGAGCAAAAATGACTAGATCATGACTTTTAATGATATAAAAGAATGCAGTAAGATGTTTCCAGTGTTCACTAATTGATTTTGAAAAAATAAGAATATCATCTATATATACTATGGAAAAATGACTAAATGGATTGAAAATATCATTCATTATATTTTGAAATTCACTAAGTGCATTTTTTAGTCCAAAAGGCATAACATTCCATTCATAATGACCAAAAGGTATAGTGAATGCAATTTTATATCCATCTTTAGGATGAATTTGTATTTGCCAAAAACCACTTTTTAAATCAAATTTACTAAAAATAACAGTTTGATTAGGTCTTTTGATTAAGTCTTTTTTATTAGGAATGGGATAACGAATCCATTCTAAAACTTTATTTAACGGTTTATAATTGATGACTAAGCGAGAGACACCTTGTTCTAATTCAGCATTTTTCTTAACATAAAAAGTAAGACAAGACCATGGTGATTTACTAGGAGTAATAATTTGATTTTTTAATAGTTCATTGATTTTTTTTTTTACACATTTCAACTAATTCATGATTCATTTGAATAGGTCGAGATTTAGTAGGAATTTGTCTATCATTAAAATTCTTAATGTATGGTAAAGTGACTACATGTTTTTTCCTATGCTAAAAGGCAATTGGTAAAGTAGAACAAACAGTTGTTTCTAATTTTAATTTAAATTCTTCAATTTTAGATATAACAACAGGATCAGTTAATTGTTGTTCAATGCGTTTATAATTGACTTCTTCTTTGAGAAAACGTAATTGACGAGTTAATTGATTAATAGATTGAGAAATAGAACAGTCTTTTAATTGATTTAATTTCAATACTTCAGGTGGTGATAAGAATTTAAAAGTAACTGTTTGACCAAAAGCTTGAGTTATTATTCCTTCACTAGATGTAGTAAATGAATATAATAAGAATATAAATGGTGTGCCTAAAATAACTTTATCAGTCATATTTCTAACTAAAACAAATGAAATTTTGAAACAGACATTATGTTGACATATATGGACTTTAGGTAATTTATATTTAATACGCATTTTACTACCATTAGCATAAGTTAATTTTTCACTTGTTTTTTCATAATATTTTGTAGGAAGTACACCTTCTTGAATACAATTAAGATCAGCACCAGTATCAATGAGAGCAATAATATTTAATTCAAAATCATCAATAACAAGTTTAACTTTTGAATACCATTTTTGAATATGAATTTTATTGATCAGATTTAATCTTTTATCTTCATGATTATGAGATTGATGTGATCGATTGTCAAATAAAAGATTATCAGGATTAGTATGTTCTGATTCATTAGGCGATTCAACATTGTTTTCTTGGAAATTCTCTAGACTTTTATTAAGTTTTAATGTAAGAATTTCATCTTCTAAAGCCGTATCTTTATTTTGTAAATCTTTAATAGTTTGTTTAATCTGATTGATTTCATGTTGTAAATCTTGAAGAGTAATTTCTTTTTGTTTCTT